AGGAAGACTGTCCTGGATCAGCAGCTGGGTGCCTTCGTCATCACCCAGCCGGTTATGAAGGCACCAGCTCCTCTCGTTGTCCAAGCAGCGAGTCAGCATGTTCTCCACTGACACGTTGAAGTTCTGCTGGTCTGAGAAGGAAACAAGTCTGATAAATCCTGTGTATAGAAATCTGCAGGAAGAGGTTAAGACCAAATTCTTGCTCCATGCCCTTACTGAACTCTTCCTGCACCCGAGTTTTGTTTTTGGCCCTCGTTAGCTGTCAGCAGCCTCCGGAGTCCAACAAGCCAACTAAGACTATCCTCAACAGCTTCTTTTATCTCTGGCATCTGGCAATAGAGTGGACGTGTTCCACACCTATGTCCCAGTCAGTTTCCTGGACTGAGACACTCCTAGTGCATCCTCACTATACCATGTGATTACACCAGGCCTGTCCAGCATCATGTCCCACTACCTGATCTAACAGCACCACCAGCTCAGCTCCCATTTTCACCCGACTGTTCTAGACATGTGAGGTCTGATCGAGAGTCGAACTAGTGTGTCCTGGTGTTCTTTTGGACACCTTGATGCTCGATCATTATTTTTATCATTAACAAACTGCATGCACAGGCTGTCACACCTGAATGCGCCATGTTAGGTTTCACTCCCACTGTGCAGGTGAACATTAACCCTTTCCCCCTTGAAAGCCAACTGGGAGTAACCTTGAAGCCCTTTCCTGAACAGAGTGGTTTCTATTATATTTCAAGCTGCTTATGAACAAAATGACTGAACGTATCTCTATCGAGATCGAGCGAGAGAGAGAGAGAAGTTTCTTTATTCTCCTTTCAGAAACTCCATCCCATTCAGAGTACTCACCTGCGTTACAGGAAGCAATGGCTTCAGTGATGTTTGGGCAAAAGACAGCAAAGTCAAAGTGACACGTCTGAGAGAAAAAAAAAGAAAACGGTAAAAAAAGGGCAGAAGAATTATTTATAGGGGTCAGTTCCTCTCTACATGAATGTCTGCGTATTCAAGTAGCTGTACTCACCACCAGCAGTTTCAGCATGGCAGCCGAGTCTCTCTCTCCTGTCGCGTTGAACAGCAGCACTCTGGCCACAGCTCCACTAAAACAAACATGTTGAGGCGTCAAATCAGCATGTGAAGTACAAACCTTCCTGCAGAAACACTTCTAGGATTTAAAGAGAGCGTGGCTGTCTGAGGTGGTCTTTGACACACAGTTTTGCTCACCTGGCGCTCCTCTCGTGCTCAGCTGCAGTCTCTCTGAACCACTGAACGCAGGCCTGCATGCTGCGCATGGTGTGAGCTCCATCCAGGAAGTAAGTCACCTCTTCATGCTTCAGGGTCTGCGTCCTGCCGGGCCACTTAGCATCTGCCAGCCCTGAGAGCAAACACACACAGTTACCTCACTGAATAACAATCTGGTTGTAATGGCAGCTGACTGGCTCAGCAGGACTCACCTTTAACCATGATGGGGCTGGGACTGAACGCAGGCGCCTGAAGTGTACCGTTGTTTTCAACAGTGGTGACGGGAAAGCTGTGATCTGCTGAGAGAGGACAGGTTTCTATTAACACTCTCATCACCTAACCCCTTCACTCACACCCCTAAAGAAAGTCCCATTTGCAACAAGCCATGAAGGGAGCACAGCAAACACATGGAAGCAGGAATTTTTTGACCTACTTCCAATCGCTGTGTGTGGTGGGTACATAACACTGCATGTGAATCTGAACACACCATCTCCTCTGAAGCATGATGGAGGCAGTGTCATAGATAGATGGAGCTAAAATACAGGCAGGGGTTTAGGCAGGCTCTTTACATCTGAGTCCTGTAAGTTATATACTGTGGATCTCATCATGCAAACCTGTCCTCACCCTGTGAACCTCAAGTTCCTCCTTCACCCTTGTCAGTTTTATTTAGATTTTTCTGACTTCTTTAGCAACTTTTTTGAAAGCACAACAGACATCAGCTACTTTCTGCCACAGAAGCACTGCTCTTTGTTTGTGCTCTCTTCAGTGAGACAGCAGCACGATCTGTTTACCGTGAGGCAGCTGACATCAATGTAGACCAACCTCCTCTCAGTGATTTGACATTTAAAAAATTAAATTAAAAAAAAAAAAAAATTATTAAAAAAAATTAAATTAAAAAATCACGGTTCAGCTACATGTTTCGAGGCTCAGGCAGTATTCAGTTTATGTACATTTGGGATATTTAGGATTTATGTATAAACGTTAATCACACCTGGTAGGCACCTCCTCTGAAGCCAGGTGTGACTCAGCTGGAGCGCGAGGGAGGCGTTGGAGCGCTGGTGCTGCCCTGCAAGGCCCAGGTGCAAAGGTCCACAGTCCACTTGGTAGTCCTCCAGCTGTGGACACACCCACAGTGGGCACTGCGACAACAGTTAGAGCATGTTAGATAAAACTGAAGCTTCATTTTTGTGTGTGATGTGACTGAAAGTGGACTCCTACTCCGATCTCTTTGGCCCGCTCCTCGAGCACGGGCATGGCGCCCTCTGGCTGTCTGACGGTGAAGGCGGGGACTCCAGGCTGCAAACACAAAAATGCAGAGTTACAAACAGGAACTAAAAAGAAATAACGGG